ATGACATGGATTACAGGATGGAGTTCCAGCTGGGCAGATGACCAGGTCCTAGAGACAGACGGTGGTGATGGCTGCACAACCTCATGTCCCAATGTCACAAAAGGTTAAAATGGTAAACTTTGTTTCACCACAACAAAAACATTTAAGCCTTCTGCCTACCGCCTTGGGTGGGAAAAGGCACCTGTGGTGGGCGGAGAGAGGGACAAGGACCTGGCTGGGTTTTCTCGGAAGCTCTGTGCCCCTCTACCAAGGAGGGGCTGGGCCCAGGGTGTTGACCCTGGCTCTGTGGGGCTGATCTTGGGGACCCAGTTGGTGGGGACGGCTTGCTGGAGGCCAGGGCTGTTGATGGTCCATGCTAAGCCCCACAGCAGGGCCCAATGCAGGACTGCAAACAGCTTAGCTTCAAGGTCAGGCCCTTTGTGCCTGGGTGCAGAAACCAAGACACAGGAATGCCAGGGTTCTACCCAACATCCTGGGGTGGGTGGAGGCAAGGAGGGGGAGGGTGTATGTCCAGCTCCAGGATTGCAGCCTCCCTGCCTGGTGTGGTATTCCTAACACCCTCAACCTGTGTATACCTGGCTGAACACCAGGTGGGGTGGAGTCTTTTTGGGGTCCCTAGGGGGCTGAGCATCTGGGTTGTAATGCAGGGCTCTGCACTAGCAGGCTATCCTGTCTCCCAGTACCCTGACCCTTTGGGCCCAATTCCTTCCCTGCCAGGGCCCCTTGAGATCCAGCCTGATGGGTTGTCACCCCTGTAGAGGTCCAAAGATCCCACCAATCCAGCCATTCCCTGGGCTGCCTGGGTATGTGGGGTCTGGGGCCACTTCCTGGCCCATGCCCACTTTCCAGTGCTGTGCCCACGGAGCACCTGGACCTTTTACACTTAGCAGAGGGAAATTGGACCCAACCCAAGTTCTTATCAGCTGGAGTGGTGAATTGACATTCACTGAGCCAAACACTGCCATGGGTCCCAGAGGCCAGGAACAGAGAGGAAGGCATGGCCCACAGTGGTCATTCATGCTACCAGGAACCATGTGACAGTCCCACTGAAGCACCATGAGAAAGCTGTACTTTGTCCTCTGGGGAGTGGAGCCTGCGGAGCTCTCATGTCCCCCAGCTGCTCTGAGGTTGCAGTGAGGCTGGAAGAGGACAGCACAGCTGGTTCCAAACTGCCGTCTATCCGGGGCTCTGCACAGCCCTGCTCAGAGTGAGGTGTCTGTGGCAGTAGGTGGGCCAGTGGCCAGCAGAGCAGTTGCCCAGCCCCGAGCTTGGCCAACCCTTCACTGTGGCATCCCTTCATACCTGAGCATTTCTCACAAGGGCCCCACTTGTCTACTCCACATGGGGCCATGGATGCTCCTGGGCTGGTCCCGGTGGTCACCGTGGGAATGGAGCTGCCTTCTCAGATTCTGAAGGGAACTTTATGCCTCGAGGGTTGTGACTGGTTTCACCAAATGGGACTTTTTTGTAAGTTAGACTTTTTCCCTTTAGACACAAGCAGCTTCTAACTTCCTCAGGCCAAGGTGAATGGGCAGAGCACAGATACGGGAACCAGAAGCCCAAGTCTAATTTCATTTTCTTTTTTTTTTTTGTTTTTTTCATCGGTACCGGGGATCGAACTCACGACTACCTGCTTTCAAGGCAGGCGCTTATGCCGCTGAGCTAAACCCCCAGCCCGCTAATTTCATTTTCTTAGGCAAGTGGAAGTCTAGCTGCAGGAAGGGATGACAGGGCCCTGTATACATCTGTCATTTCTGTGTGTTCCTCACCACACCCTGTTCCTTGCCCTGAAGACCTTTACCCACCTCAACATGCAGAGACAGTGATCTGAGGCATATGTGCTCTCCATCTCCTTGGGGCAAGCACTGAATAAGTCTTTCCTTTTTTATCAAAATAAACGGCCTCCTCTGACTTGGGCAGCAGCAAGCAAACCACGGCACATATTGGCCTTGGTGACCAGAAGGGGCTGCAGCTACGTGGCGTTCCACTGAGACACGAACGCTGAAAACTCGGTGTTGTGGCGAGGCGGAGTACGCTGAAAGCTGCTGTCCAAACAAGTCTTCACTAGGGATCAGTTTAAACCTGACCTCTCAGGACCAATCAAGCCTGCCACTGCCACCACAGGCCATGACCCAAACTGTCCTTCCTTAGCGACTTCTAATCTGTCTTGAAGACGTGTCCAAATCTGTCATGCTTTTGTGAGCTGCAGCTCCTTAGTGACCCAGACAAGTCACCCAGGGCCACTTCAGCCTTGTGGTAGCCATGCAGGAGGTGGTGTCATTGTGTGTTGGCATGATCACCACAAGGGGCTGAGATGAGACCAAGAAAGGCAAAGAAGCTTAAAGGACAGGGCCGTGGGGGACACTCACAGGGCAAGTGGGTACCAAGCCATGGGAGTCTTTTTTTTTTTTTTTTTTTTGGTCTTTTTCATTTTTATCGGTACCGGGGATCGAACTCACGACCGCCTGCTTGCAAGGCAGGTGCTTTTGCCACTGAGCTAAACCTCCAGCCCCGCCATGGGAGTCTTAAAAAGCCCAGCTGCTACAGGGCACCACTGCATGTCTTGGGGACAGCGAGGCAGGCACATCATTGAGGATACAAGTGTAAGTGCAGCACAGGACAACACTGAGTTGTCACATGGCTTGCCTTCTGGGTGTGGTCAGCGTTGCCTTCAGTTTCAGGGCCTATGTTGACACTGGGACCACGAGACCAAGACAGAGTGCCTGAACCCTGAGACAGGTTGGGTCTGCCTTGAGGCTGCTGAGGAGACGCACCTGGAACACAGGTGATATGGGGGAGGGTTACTGGTGTGAAATGAGCTCCTCTCTGAGCAGATGTGGTACCCACTGCTGGCCCTGGGCCCACCCTGTACCCAACACTTCCGACCATGAGCGGTGGCAGGGTCTTATCACAGGCCTGGGATGCTCACCAGCTGGGTCTCTCCTGTTCCTGCCCCACCCTGGGCATGCCCCTCCTACCAGGGAGGCCAGAGGTAGACCCAGGCCCTGGCTCACTCATGCAAGCATCACGCTGAGGTAAGAAAGTCCCTTCCTTGTCCTGGCTAATGGTGCTGACCCCTACCCACCTGATGCCTGGCTCTGGTCTATGGCCTCTTCCTAAAGTTCACTCTGCAGGCCAGGGCTACACACACTGGGCCATCAGGTAAGGCTCCCACAGTGGCCACCACTGGGTCACAAGGTGGCCCCAACCCTAGCTTTCAGATACCAAGCTTAAGTTTCCTCTCCCTCCTCCCAGCCCCACATCCCTGTGCCGCGTCCCCACCTTGGCCTTAGAGCCCCATGGAGAGGCAGGCCCTGCTCTGCAGAAGCTTGGGCAGCTCTGTAACCTCTTGGCAGGGCTCACCATGGCACAGGTCTGGGTGTGGGGTATTCCTGAGGTGGATGACACTGAGGGTTCTGCCCTCCTTCGCCACCTTGTCCCAGGCCCGTGCTGAGGAGGGTGACTGTGATGGCCTCTAGTCTGTGGTGTCCCTTGGACCATGTCAGCTCTGCCACTCACCTTTGTCACAGGCACTGTGGTCAGGACTCGGGGCAGCTGGTCACTAGGTCTAAAAGGACAACAAGGTGACGGGGCATGAGGAGCTACAGGGAAGGGGGCAGCAGGCCTGAAGCCATACACTTGAGACCAGCAGCCGCCATGCCCTGTACCCCAGGGTCCTGCACCTCTGTCCTGGTCCAGAAGGCTGTGGACCTGTGTCCACAGGGCTGTGACTCTGTGTTCTCATGAGGCCCTCCCTCCCCTCTGCCACCCCAGTGACATGCACCTGGGCAGCATTTCCCAGGGCAAGGCAGCCTCCAACGGGCAATGGCTCTGTTCTTCCCACCACCCTAGGAGCTGCAGTGGCCACCGCTCCCACCCATTGAGGCCCTGTGTGTGGACAGAGGGGAACTTGGGCACTTGGGTGGGTTGGACACCTTGGGAAGCCTCAGCCCCATCACATCAGCTCCTCTCCTTCAGAAGTTTCCATTTTAAAAAATAAAACCAAGAAAGTTGGGTAAAACACAAACCACAGTAGTGTGGGCAGAGATGCATTTTCTTCTGGCCTGAGGGTAGGGCTGTTCCATTCCAGGGCTGGCGGGGTCACATTCCTGGGCACATCCTGGTGTCTAGGGGAGGCTCCCAGGGAGGCAGCCCAAGTGCCCACTGCCAGACTTTGGCCAGCATGGACACTGGCCTGGGCAGGCCACCCAGGCCTGCATCTAAGGGACAGCAGGTCTCAGGCAGGGTCAGGGCTTTGGAGCAGGGAGGGGCTCCCTGAGGCCTGGCCAGGCCAGTGTCCAGCTCTGACAGCTCCACACTTTCTTTTCACTTTTGGAAGTAAGCCACCATTGCTGGCTGAGCCAGCTGCCAGCTGGCCCACTGGGGGAGCAGATTTGAGATAGGGTGAGGTTTGTTCCCCAGGCGCAGGGTTCCGGCCAGTGCATTCCCTTGTGCAGCAGCTGACACCTCCTGGACATATTTCTGCATGACACACGGCTGTTCGCTCTCCTGCACTACAGCCATTGTCGCTGCCCTCCCTTCTGAGCGACGACTCCTGCCACTTCATTCACTGAGACCCCCACCCATCCCTGGCCCTGACCCCAAGGGGCAGGCACAGGACAGATGGACACGCTGGTCTGGGCTCCCAGACAGGCACACCCGAGGTCTGATGGGCCCCAGCTGGATGGAAGTCCCGTGCTCCTAGGCCAGCCGGGGCTCAGACACCAAGGCCCAAGGCACTGCAGCCAGGCTGTTTAGGAACTGTGCCTGCCCAAGCCTTCAGGGGCAACACTGCTCCAGGACACGCTTCTGGGGGAAGTCAGATCTACAGCTCCCGCCTGCCACGCGTTCACAGGATCTGAGAGCCACTGTGAGGTCCCGCAGGGCTGCAGGCTGATGGGAGTAGCCCGTAGGAATTCCCTGCTCTGGTGCAGGCTCCAAATCGTAGCTAGCGCTGCTCATGGGCTGAGCTGTCCTGGCAGCAAATGTCATAAACAGACTCACAATGCTTAAATACAGATTTATTGCAAACTAACACCGAGGAACTGGAGCAGCTTTGCAAGCTGGACACCCCACTCTCCAGGGCCCCTGGACAAGGGGAATGAGTCACCCCGCTTTCCTCGGACCTCAGCTGGTGGGACTTAGTGGCCAAACTGCAGCTGTCGTGTCTAAAAAGAGAAAACAGGCCGTGCGCCAGCCGTGGACAAACACTGGTGGCACCCTGGGCAGAGACCCAGCCGCTGGGGACAAGCCATGCCAGGAAGGGGCACGGCAGGGCCATATGAGACTTTGCACTGTTCTTCCTGGCCAGAGGCTTGGCTTATTGAGCAGGGTAGGAAATGGGAGGAATCCACACAGAAAACAAAAGCAGGCAAGAGGAACACACACCGCCATGGAAGGGAACGACTCCAAGTCTCCCCAACAATGAGGCACAGAGCTCCCACTCTGTCACTCCTCAGGCAGCCCAGCCACAGGCAAGGAGAGGACAGCAGACACATGTACTCTGGAGGCAGTGGCATGCAAACCCCAGGCTCCCGGTGGGAATTTCAGGAAAAATGACTAAAACTTCCTCAGGATCTCTGGGAGGTGACAGTTCTGCTCCCTGGCAGCAGCTCCATGGTGAACGTGAGATGACAGGGATCTCATAGCTCTGTTCTCTCCTTGAACCACACAATACTCTCTGGTTCCCACCTCTCACAGGGCTGCCTGTACCCTTGGGCACAGAAACTCCCTCACATGGCGGCAGGGAACCAGCTCTGGCTCCATGGCTCCTGGAGGGACGTCCCCCCACCAACCCCCCAGGGACAGCCCCTCTCTAGGCCTCACTTCCAATGGGCTGCAGGAGGCACAATTGTGGAGACCCATCTGTGTTCCAAAACCAACGTCTAGGAGACAGGGCAGCACTGGGCAGGGGTGACACAAGCTCCTGGCTACAGGTACACAGAGCTGAGTGTACCTGGGCCCCTCTGGTCTGCACAATCTAGCTGTGATGGGGCAGCAGCCATGCTCAATGTGAGCACAGGGCTGCCAGCACAGTGCCCAGTCACTGGGAACACTGGGACAGTCTGTGGGCTCTGGGACTGCCATCCTGAGCCAGCACAGGCACCCCACGCCAGGGGCTGAGATCCAGGCTGTGACTTTCTGTGGTCTCCTCCTGAGGGTGCTCCCAGCCAAATCCCATGAGGCGGCATCTGGACAGCCCAACAGAGTGCTGTGCAGCAGAAGCCACAGGCAGAGTGGACAGGCCCTGCCGAGCCCGAGACTCCCAACAGCAATGACATGCAGACGGCACTCACAGAAAAGCAAGGCGCATGAGCACACCCCAGAGTGAGGGGTTCTGCAGAGGCCCAGCAGCATCCCAGTGCACCCTGTTCCCCTCATGCAAGCACTGAACCCCACATTTCAACCTGGCCTTGCTGAAAGGACAGAACTCCCCACCCAGCCACAAGGACAGCAAGTAGAGGATGTTAACACAACAAGTGGGCAGGGCAGAGGGCAGGGCCCTGAGGCTGGGTGGTGACTGCAGCATGCACTTTTGGCTCCTGGGCAATGTCCCTCCTGTAGTCAAACGCCTCTGGTCAGCATGCGCCACAGCGGCCAGCAGCACTGGCCTTGCACCTTCTCCTAAGTCAGGAGGTGCGAGGTCAGGGAGAACGGCCTGGCTCACCCTTGAGGGCAAGGGTGGCTAGGGGTGAAGGAGGTGAGTGTGTCCCTGGCACGGAGAGAGCCGGGGGGACAGCCGAGGACAAGGGTATCCTTTTCCTTCCAGTCACTAAAACTGCACAGCCCCCGGGGAGATGTTGAACATGGCTGGGTCGAATCGCTGGCCTCGGAAGGGAGAGCCTTCAGCATCCCACCCCTTCTTCAGCATCTCATGGACTTTCTATGAACAGAAAACAGAGAGGTTAAAGATGCCCAGCAGCATGCTCTCTCCCTGGCATACTGACCACGGCAGCCTTGCCTTGGGGCACTTTCGTGGCAATGGCCCACTCTTCTTCAAGACTGTGGCCCGGCACACCTTGGGGGACACTATGGAGGTACATGGGAGAGTCCTATCATTGATCACACAATCCAGGATTGACCCAGAGTGTGAACACCTCCCTGGGCACACGGTCAGAGCTGGGGAACTCAGTGCCACTCCGGAACTGCTGCCTCCTACAATGTGGACAATCCTGTTGAGGGATGAGTCTGCATTACGCTGGTGAGCCCTCCTGGCCCTGGCATCTGCTGCCTGCTACCCACCCACTGCACAGCACATGCATCTGGGGTAGGGGTGGCCCTACCTTTCTTTCCATCGTGAGAAATGGAGTTAGTGCAGGTCAGGGGCCCCTGCTGTGGAGTGTACAGTGTCTGCTACAGAAAGCCCAGCAGACAGGTGGGCACAGATCTGAGTGGCGGGGAAGCCACTGGGTCTCCATGGTGTCCAAATGAAATGCCACTTTCCTGGTAGGGCTTCCTTTCTGGGGCTCCCCCCAACCCCAATGCTGGGCACTGATTCTCTGAGTTACATCCCCTTTTACTGACACTGATCTATCCTTCCCAACTTCTCACAAGTAATTCAGAGTCTAGAAGGAGCGTTTTGAGAAGGTTCTGCAGCAGGCCTGAGAGAGAGCACACACATGACTGAGAGGAGGGAGGTGACAGAGAACTCCTGTGACCCTGAATGCCTAGCCTCCATCTCGGTTTGTAGGGAACATGAGGCCAGACCATCTCAACCAAACCCAAGAATGGACTAAGCCGACAACCCAAGCAGGAGGCCATGAAGGCTCTGGAGCCCCTCCAGGCTGGGGATAGCTGGGAAGTCCCATGGGAAGCTGAGCAAAGGTGATCATTCTAGACCTAAATGAGGAAGTCAGTATGCGGAAAGCAGGCTTTCTGGGTGTCGCCAGCTTGCCTGGTAACGCTGGCATCTGTCTGTCGGGGGGTGGGGGGTCCTGCTATGCTGAAGACAGTCATCCAGCTTGAACTGACGATGGGCCTGCGACCACACTCCCTTCCTTGGGGAAGCCTGCGCAATGAACTCAATGAGGGCAAAATGAGTTGATTCTGTGAAACAGTGACCTCACAGTGACATCGAAGACTTTAAAACAACATGAGAAGTGTTATCACTTCAAAGTTAAAATGCTTCAGAACACACAGCATCTGTCATATTAGAAGTACAATTTGATATCCTGGCAAATTTAGAAAACTCGACGAGTGTGTACCATAAATGGGCATCCATGCTGGGCACGCTGGTGACTGTGATTATGCCAATATGCATAGCAGACGAAAGCTGAGAGAGAACATGCCCCACCTCCAGCCTCTCTGCAGGGAGGCTTGTGATCCTCAGCGAACGACCTGGGCCCCAAGAACTCTCAGGTGGGTCCCTCTGCTTCTCTGTGAGGTATCCCCAGGGCCAAAGAGAAAGTGGTCAGACTGATTCCTGGGGCCACTCAAGGGCATGAACCTACCTTCTAAGTTGTTCCTCCATTCAACATAAAAAGGACTTCATTTACTATGGCATTCTTGGGTGGACAGGGGCCCCAAGCCATGTGCCGAGCCCAAAGAGGAGCGAAGACCTGGGCGCTATCACACAGCACTGCCCCATGACTTGGGCTGATTAGCAGCCATGGCTGCAAGGCTGGGTGCTGGGCTCACTGGCTGTCTAGGAGCAGGTCAGTGAGGAGTCACTCTGGTCCCACCCATGCACTGAAGCCCTGCATTTCTGCAAGTTGCTGAAGGCTATGTAGGGCCCTCTGCAATGGACAGGGACACCATATCCCTTCGAGGATGGCAGGCTACCCAGCCTGGCAAGTCCACAGCAGAGCTCATTTAGATACAGCAGTCTTTCCAGACCACACCACCTGAAGTTTCTCTGGATTCTTTTTAATCAGACTGCTGCCCAGATCCTGGACTCCCACACAGAGCCACCACCAGGGTGCACCAGGTTTGCGAGTACGGAGGTGTGATGCAACTGGTGCTAGGACAGAAGCAGAGGATACATGGGCAGCTGCCCACCCACAGGCAGTGGCGGACTATCCCCTAGCCCTGGAGCCTCTCCTGGGATTGAGGAGACTTCTGTCCCCAGTCTGGGTGGCAGCTGCCAACACATGTAGCCCCAAAGCTCAGGGTCAGAGACAGAGCAGCTATACAGAGGCTGAGCTGCTCTTTGCAGAAGGTGGGCATGAAGTGCCTGGGCTCTGAGGACCTGGAGGGCTAACTCAGGGCTGCCTTCCTCCTGAACATGGCGCTGTCAAGAAAGTCACACTGGACAGCCAAAGGGCGCCAACACAGAACACACAGGATAGGGAGGAATAGGAAGGCAAACAAGAGCTGAGGCTCCTGCTGGTCTGGGTAGGTCCACTCCTGGTTTTGACTTGCACGCCCTAACTTGCATACGTGCTGCCAAAGCAAGCATGCCCTTGTATGTCCTGTGTGTCCCAAACTCGAAAGTCACAGGTGGAAAGCACTGCAGGCCATTCCGGCTTCTCCCAGGTATCACAGTGAAGTCCAAAGCAGACCTCACTGAGGCTTGACCAAGGCACACGGCTCATGCCAGAGTGAATCCCCATTCTTAGAATTTCCCTGTGACAGACTTGAAGCTGGCATCTGGAGAAGGCATGAGGAGCTGCAGCCCTCCATTCCACCGTCTTGCAGTGCAAAGATCTGTTGCCTGAGCAGGATGCTTGGCAGGGTTTCCTTCTAGCCTGCTTAACTGAGCACCTACATCCATGTCCTGAGTCAAAACAGACCTAAGCCCAGAGTTCGCTCCCTGTGGACACAGGCTGACCTTAAATGGGGCCCACCCCTAGATCAAAGGTTCACAGACGGGATGGATGCAGTGTGATGGGACCAAATGCCATCCGTCTACACCACTGCAGGTGAGTGCCAAGCCCCTGCTGTCACCCTAGGACCCCACGACCTCTAAGCCAATGGATCTCATGACATGTCCTTTGACATCACTGGGCCCTGGATAAATGGGAACTGAGCTGAAAGAAACGTTCTCTCCCAAGGGACCCAGTCAGGATGGGCAGGCCAGGCAGGCAGAGGAGTCTGGGATGAGATCTGCAGTCAACCCTGCCTGGGCCCGTGGCTGATCTCAAATCATTCTGAAGCCCTGGGACTCAATATTATGAAGAGAGATCATCTTTTTGAGGTGCTGCAGGGCAGGGGCCATGGCCACAGCATCTCTAACACAGCCATAGAGCATACAACCTGATGGGTACTCGCTGCCCAGGAAGGCAAGGATGGGCCAACCATACAAACTACAGAGACTCAGAGACCAGGGCCAGACCCCTCCATGTGCACTGAAAGGTGAAATAACTTACAGGCAAGTAGCCCTTTCTTCCCTGTGCAGCCACTCTCAGGGTCATTAAAATAGCAACCATGAACATGTTTATCTCATCAGTCAATCTCTTTGCCACAGGCAGACAGATCATCCCTGCACCATGGGGCGGCAGTGACTCCCTGCCCCAAGAAGGACCCCAGCCAGCTCTGTGGCCAGCCTACCTCCTCCTCACCACTGTGGACAAAGCAGGGGGGCTCATCTCAAGGCACCCTCCAAGGCTGTGCCACCTGGGCTCATGGGTAGAATACTGTGCACATTTGTCTTCAGGTGGGGACACAGGTGGGACAGGGTGCAAGATGGGGACAGACACGCCCCACCCACCAATGTCACCCAACCCAAGAGCAGCCTGTCACCAGCAAAGGGGAGTTCAGTGGCCATACCAGCTCATGGCTCTGTGGCTTGCCCTGCAGCTTTTGGTGGTAGTCGAAGGTGAGCCTGTCCAGGACTGCCTGCTCCTCTTCATCCACGGTGGCCATGGAGCGCTCTTTGTTGATCTTGTCAATGTCAATGGGCTCCTCACCCTCCAGGATGGCATTCCACCAGTACTCGCCCACCTTGCTCAGGCTCACCTGAAACAGAGAGCAGAGATGGACATGGAGGGCGGGAGACCATGGCTAGCTAGCCCACACCCATCCAGGGGCCAGCCTTCTGTGTGGAAGGAGTCTGCAGAGGGACAGGCATCCAGAACTAGGAACACACCCGAGCTTGCTCAGGGAGGCGGCTATAGGCAAGGTGTGTCAGACATAGGCATGAGGGAAGAAAACTAGGGGATGCTCATCCTGTTGGCACCTGAGACCTTCTTCCCAGCCTCTACCCTCATGCAGGCTGGCACATGCCCACACCCACTCCTACCCTGTCCCAAGAGATACCCCACACACAGGACCTGTCCTGGGCTGCATGAGGCCTCCCTAGGTCCATCCTGCCTGTTTGGCCCGCCCCACCAGCTCTGGTCAACTACCTTTCTGGCTCTCAAGGCCACCACCCAGTCTCCCACTGTCTTGGTAGCTGAGACCTACAAGGTGAGACCAAACTCTCAGGGAACCCTCACCACCCAGTGGGCTGGCCCATCCCCACTCCCTCCCTGCAGACCACTCTGAGCCCCACGTGCGGCCTTGGCACGGGGTCTGTGGGTCTCGTCTCAGAGCCACATACAACTACTGTGAGGGAGCAACGCACACCTTTTCCTGGGAAGCTTTGTGTATCCTATCTCTGTGGCTGGGGCCAGGGATCGAAGGAGTAAGGACACTGGATTCCTTGCCATCAGAGGCTGAGCTCACTGGGATGTTCTTAGGATAGTGGCCAATAAGCAGCAAGTAGGTCTCGGTCCATTTCACCCTGTCCTGTGACCAGTCCTCACAGTTCTCGGTCCTCACAGAACAGGAAAAGACAGCCAGGGCTGCTGAATGAGGCCTCCCACCATGGAAGAACTGCCACCAGGCTTTCCGACCAGGGGGCAAAGAGACCAAGCCACTCTCCAGATAATTACAACACATGGGCCAGCAGTGGCCCACAGAGGACGCACCCTAGCCACAGTTCCGGGTCAGACTGGGAGGCAGGCAGCGGCCGCAGCAATGGCCACAGTGGAAAAGGTCACCTCAACTTGGAAACAATGTGAAACTCGCACCACAGCAGACGTCAGTACCTCAAACTCCCCTCCTCCAGGCTCCTGGGACTGGGAGGGGACAGGGATCAGGGACAAGGAGGCCTCTAGGCCCCAGCTCCACCAGCAAACACCACTGCTTGACAGCACCTGGTGCCATAGGAGACTGTTGGCCATCTGTGGTTGGCTTCCTGGTGCGAGCGGACCTAACCCAGCCCCAGAGTCCCCAAGTGGGCATGACAATGTGCCCTGCTTCCCTAGCCTGGGAGAGACTCTGAGGTTTTTAAGAGGACTGCTAACTGCTGGAGGAAGAGGCTCTTATGCTTTTCAAGCTCATCCCCATCAATAATTACCTCATTAATCTACACAGCATCCTAAGTCCTGTAAGGCAGTACTATAGGGCTGGACCCTGGAGGTCAGGGCTGTGCGGGGTACGGTCACTTGAGCCCCCAGCCTATTGCTGGCCAAGGGAATTCAGGTCTCAATGGCCCTCAGGGCCTTTCTACAGTGCACTGACCAGATACCACTCATGGCCAGCCCCACCCTGCCGCCACCTCCTGGCTGAGGCAGGAGGGAGGGACTCGCCCCCATACCTGACCATAGCTGCACTCACCAAATCAGTCACCTGCACCCCTTCTTGTCAGAACTGTGTGCTCTACAGCTGGAGTACACAAAACTTACAGTTAAGAGTTGACTCTTATTCAAGTTGTTCCAAAACTACTTAGATGCCTTTCAGCCAAGAGCAGTGGTACACTCTGCATTTAGGGAGGTCAAAACAGGGTAACACCTTTGAGTCCTGTCTGGGCAATTTAGCAAAACTCTGTCTAAAATAAAAATAAAAAATATAAAAAGTGCTGGGGATGCAATTCAGCACCACTGGCTTCAAGCCCCAGCATCACCCACCAAAATAAATCAATAAATAAAATCAAGTAGGTTTTTAAATTAAAACACAACAGTAGTTTCCACAGTCATGCTGTCAAATGTCCTCACTTAGCTGTAGTATCAGGACCACTAGGCTGAGCAATGCAATTTACAGGAGGTCACCCTGCTCACATGTCACTGTGCGTATCACAGGTATGTGCTAGAGGGAGTTGTGAGCCACTTTGTAAAATATTTTTGGAGTCTTTTTGCTTGTTTTTTTTGAGACAGGTCTTGTTAGCAGTTCAGCTTGGCCTTGAACTCACTATGTAGCCCAGGCTGGTCTCGAACTCACAGTAATCCTCCTGCCTCAGCCTCCCAAATGCTGGGATTATACAAGTATGCTAGCACACCCTGCTTAAAATATGGTATTTTGTTGTTGTTGTTGTCTTTTTGAGACAGGGTTTCACCATGTAGTTCAGGCTGGCTCTGAATTCACTGTACAGCCCAGGTTGGCCTCGAACTCAACAGTGGTCCTCCTGCCTCAGAGATGAAATTCACACAAAATTCTGCCCACAACTAAATAACTCAGTAGATTTAGCATATTCACAATGGTACATAACCAGCATCACTATCTCTAAAATCATCCTTTCTCACCACCCCAAGAAGTCCTATGTCCATTAGCAGCTTCTCCACATTTTGCCCTATACCTTCCCCTAAATGCCTCTTCCCTGGCCCCTGGCAACTACTGATGATTCCATCTCTAGTGATCTTCCCATCTGGATATTTCAACACTGGAACCTTATGATGTCTGTGTCTGGATTAATTCACTTAACATGGGCTCCTTCAGGCTAGCCATGGTGTAGCCTGCATCAGAACTTGGCTCCTTTTCATGCTGAGTAATATTCCACTGAACGGACACACTGTGCTCTGCTTATCTGTTCATTCACAGAAGGGTGCTAGGGTGGCCTCCACTTTCAGGCCATTGTGAGTAACATGTGCAAACAACACCTGTTTCAGCTCTGCTCTGTCTGGAGTCTTTAAGCACAGAATCGCTGAGTCCAATGGTAATTCTACATTTAGCTTTTTGAGAAGCTTCCAGATTGCATTCCATGGGGGTGGTACCATTTTCCATTCCCACTAGCAACGCGCCTCACTCTGATTTCTCCACAGGCTCAGTAACACCATCCTCTTACTAGTCTCCCCCAACAAGGGTGTGGTTGGCGCCTTGCCCTCAACCTGACCATGTGCCCAGCGTCTGCTTCTGGGTGAGCTCTGGTGGATGCCTTCAGCGCTGGGGTAGCAGACAGGACAGGAGCTCACATGAAGGCCCAAAAGACAAAGCCTCCTCTTCAAAGCCATAGCCAGCTTCGTCCTTGGCCCTTTCTGAGACAGGGTCTTGCTCAGTCACCCAGGCTGGACTGCAGCTTGCTGGGCTAGGACTGGAAACACGTGCCACTGTGCCAGCTTCTTCCTCTTCCTCCTCTTCCTCTTTGTTAGGAGGTGAGGGTGGGGGAAGGGAAGAAGGAACCCAGGGCCTCGTGCATGCTAGCTCACCCTTCCCATTTCATTTTCTGTAATAATCTGCAGGCCTTCTGAATGCTAAAGTAATATAATTTACAGTTTCTACTCTGGCTTCATGGAGATGCACATGAATGGATCCACAAGAACAACTCACAGGCCAAGAGAGGCTGCCAGGCAGGACAAGTGGCTCCTGGCTAGGAAAGGTAAACCTTTTCCTCACAAGAAAGCCAGGTGAACAACTGGAATGTCCAGATAAACCAACAGAGAAAGCAAAATCAGGAATCCATGTCAGCAAGGACACAGGTGTGTGGGCGCACACACCACGGCAACACTCGGAAATGCTGCATCCCCCAGGGGGCCCGCTGAGAACCAGACTCTGGAAATCGTCTCAGTACAGGAGGAGAAGAATGGTGCAGCTTGCACAGGAGACTTGCAGGGTTAAAGCCTCATGCATGCACAGTTGGTTTTCAGAGCCTGAGCTTCAAGGGCTAATTCCTTAGAAGAGCATGACACTCCTGCACCTTCGCTACGCGTGCACCCTATCAGCTCGAGAGGATGCAGGAGGATGGGGTGCACAGCATTGGGGGCCTCCTGTGCAGCCTCTATGGCCCCTCCAGCCCCATGGTGCCCACGCAGCCTGCCAGTGGGAGACAGCTTGCCGGTTCCCCGCTGAGGAAAAGACAGGACAGTGTGCAAGTCGGAGCCCAGCTTCTAGGCGGAAAGAGCTGGTGCGGTTGCCACGGCTGATTTTACATCTCTGTAACCAGGCTAGGAGCCTGCCTGAGTCAAGAAGTCTCATTTAACATTCGACGTGTGGGAGGGAGGGAGGCAAGAACTGTCACACGGTTTTAGCTGCCACCCCTGCCTGCCCTGGCTGTCTGGTGTGGGAGCCACCACGCAGTGAGGGGGAGACCAGCAAGTCTGCTCTCCTGCAGCAGGTGAGGAGGTCAGAACCTCTTGCTGTGGAGTCTAGGGCAAGACTGACAGCTCCTGACAGTGCCCTTCCTCTTGGCAGATGCAAGAAGAGCCCTCCACAAGTGTCCCAGGACTATGGTGGCAAAAACAGCCTGAACTCTTACACATGGTCCTCTTGTAGTTCTTTTTCTATTTTTTTGGAGACAGGGTCTCACCATGTAGTTCAGGGTGCCTTCAATTTGTTATGCAGCCCAGTCTGGCCTTGAACTTATAGCGACCCTCTTGCCTCAGCCTTCCAAATGCTGGGATTACAGGCATAAGCCACTATATCTGGCACTCTTGCAGCTTTGAAGGCAGACATCCAAAATCAAGGTGTGGGCAGGATCGCATTCTTTGGAGGCTCAATCTTGCGCATGCTGGTGACTGCTGGCTCCCCTGGCTTGTGGACACAAGTGCTTTCTGCCTGGTCTTCACATGGCCTTTTCAATGTCTGCATCCCTCTTCTGTCCTCACAGGAATACTTGTTTCAAAATCAGGGGCTGCCTGGACAGTCCAGGAGGTCCACATCTGCCCTCTTCCGGAAGAGGTCACACCCACAGGGTATCTGGGGCCCGTGGAGGCAGGCCCTCTACTCCCTCTCCTTGGGATGTCCTGCTCAATACAGGTAGCTGCGAAGCCATGAAGCTGCGCCAAGGCCGAGCATTCAGCTGCACATGAAGGATGAGAAGCAGCCACCTGCAGCCAGGCCCTGACCTGTAGCAGCCACTCTATGTCTACTCAATGAGGGGAGACTGTGCCAGGTTTCATGGGGCAGATGTAGTGCAGTGAACAGGATATTTACCAATCAAAACCTGCTTACTAACTTACGGTACCTCTCAGCCGTGATCAGAAGGAAAGTGTCCCCACAAGGTCACCATTCAATAAATTTAAACCAACAACACAGCAAACCCTTGGTTCCCATGAATGGTAACTTTCAGTAACTAGAGGACAGCAGGAGCAGGCAGAGGCAAGCAGAGCTCTGCAAACCAGCAGGAGACCCCAGTACAGGGTAGCCTGGGCTGACAAGACAGCCATAGGAATAGGTCAAGATGTACCACATGACTTGTCTTTCCTGAGACCCTTTATTTTCCCAGTAAGGCTGCAGTAGAAATACAATGCCCAGCACTGACAGTAATAGCAGCTTTGAGGGACCTTGGAGCCAGCAAATGTGGCTTCTCAGTGCCAGCATTTTTGCCAGGCTGGCCGGCACTGGCAGAATACTGGAAATACCTGTCTGTGGCACTGCAGGTACCTTTGACTGCAGTTGGCTCTACAGGAGCAGGTGCCTAGCAAAAGTTGACTAAAATATTAGTGGCAGCAGGGATGCAGGGAAGCCTGGATAGAGACATCTCAGTGATGACAGGCCTGAGGGAGTCCGCAGGCAGCTGGGTGCACATAATGTCCTCCACAGCCAGGACCCCCAATGTCTCCAGCTAGGGGAAGACGTGTACAGAGCACCCCCACCATGCATAGGAGTGCAGCTCCCTCCTCACCATCTTTTCACCCTCCTCAGCTGAAAAGAGTCATTTTCCAGCTTGCATGGGGCCGGGAGTTTACTCTATGGGGAAAGAGTCCACGAGGACTGATAGGGATGGCTTTCAGGCCCAGCCTTAGCTCAGGCCACATGTGCAATGCTGGCAGCCAGCCTCACAAAAGGTGAATATATTGCCACATCCTGTTCCACCTATACTTTACATACAAGTGCACCAAATACACAGAAGAAGCAGTATGGCTTGAAACTCCCATAAAGAAATGAGAGTCGCATGGATCAAGGAAAATCCTTAGGAGATGAGCAATGTAGTGATAACCACACTTTACAGAAATGGTGTAAAGTAAAAGTAATCATCAGTACACAGTTTACAATCCTGGCAGTTCCAACCCAGTGGCCACAGGTCCAGAGACCAGTGATAGAGCAAGGTATAAGGGGGTAGAGGCAAGGAAGCCAAGGAGCAGGGTGGGGATGGAGACTCACCACCCGTGGTACAAGGCCACTGGACAGCTGCCATGCACAGAGGCCACACTCACCAGCACACACTTGCCCGGTTCCAGGCTCCAGAGGGAGCTCTCGGTGTTGATCTTATGGGTGAGCTTCCCTTCCATGAGAACGCGCTCCCTGCCCTCCTCCAGCAAGGCCACGCGGATGGAACCACTGCTGAGGGCCACCGAGACCTGGGGACAGGCAGAAGAAACATGTAAGGATGGCTAACAGCTGCTGGGCTGCGGCAGGGACACTAATTTCAGAGACCTGGGGTCCTGAAGGTGTCTAAGGGAAGGAAGCCATTCCAGCCCACTCTGCACCCAAAGCCACATGCTCGTGCCCTAGGACACAGCATGCATTCTGAATCCACATAGGCACCTTCTAAAGTCTGTTTTTGGTTTTTTTTTTTTGATACCGGGGATCAAACTCATGACCTTGCGCTTGCCAGGCAGGTACTTATGCTGTTGAGCTAAATCCCCGGCCTAAAGTCTGTTTTTATAATGCAGAAGTCCTTCTAATACTGTATCCCTTGTGCAAAATATTTGGGGGCAAAAATGTTCCAGGTGTCAAAAGTTTTTCTGATTTTGGAATTTTTGCATAGACTTTACTGGTCAAGCCTCCCTAATCAGAAAATCAGAAACCTAAAGATTTTTGGATCAGGGAATATTCAATCTGTACTTGCACAATATACATATTAAATATTGAAAAAGAATTTTCCGGGCGGGGGATTTAGCTCAGCGGCATAAGTGCCTGCCTTGTAAGCAGGCAGTCGTGAGTTCGATCCCCGGTACCGATAAAAAGGAAAAAGACAAAAAAAAAGAAAAAGAATTTTCCCATAGGTCTGAAAATTATTTTAGAGGCTCCTTGGTACCTGATTCATTAAATACTTATAAAATTACTGGGAAAAAATCCTCAAGGTTACAGAATTTCCCAAGCAGAGTTTAGTATTTGCCAATGGAATCTGATACTGTAAGCTAACTGTGGTTTAAATGAGCATGAACCATAAAGGCAAGGGGAGGACCCATATGCAAGCCTTTGCCCTGCCAGGTACTTCTCAGTGACAGATATGTGGGCAGCTGGGAAAGGAGGGGACAGAGGACTGCCCCAGAGGACATGTGACCCCTCACACACCAGGAGCAGGGAGAACTCTCCACCTGCCCCAGGCCACACAGCCAGGTTCTGAGAAGACTCAGGGGCGTCCTCCAAACACAGTGCACATGGGCCACCTGTGCCAACTTTACAACATGGCCACCTGTGCTGAATCTTTACTTTGGAAAAGTCTGCTGCCCTGGCTTTGCTGCCCACCTTCTAATAGGAAAAGAAACACAAACATATGTGAACAGCTCGGCTCACTCTCAGGTTGGCACTAGATGGATGCTGGGTCCAATGAGCCTAGCTGTGGAACTTGTGTGTGTGTGACCAACAGCTGATGCCACCTAGCTCCCCTGGCCTGGCCTTCCAAGAACAAGCTCAGTCTAACTCCTTTGGCAGCTTTACACAGTAATGTGATTTCCAAATCTGGGCAAGATTCTCACATGGCTTACCCAGGAAAATGAATGAAATCTTCCAGGGAGAAAACCAAGAGTTCTAGCTGAAAAACACCACACCAGAAACAGGTGGTCGGTCATCTCTGACCTGTCACTGTAGAAATGAAAATAACACAGAGAAAGACCACATCCCAGACAGTGCAAGGAGAAGAGTGCACCAGGAGCAGAGGAACCTTAAATCTGGGGGACACAGAAGGGCTGGCACAGGAGACCAATCTTGCAGGGCAGGAGACACCTAGGAGCTACAGCGGGGAGCCCAACTGAGGGCTGGCAGTTATGGAGGCAGAGGTGAGGCTGGGGCACAAAAGGGAATAGCTGAGTCAGTGCCCGGAACAGCTGCATGTAAAGTCCAGCCAAGAGGGTTGAGGTCTGTGTAACCCAGACCTGCCAGACATTGAGCAGCAGTCTGAGGGCCTGGCATGGATGTCTAGGCCCAAGTGAGGTTTGACCCACTCCAGTGTGGTATGACCAACACCTTCCAGCCTGCAAACCAAGGCCGCCATGCTGTGGAAGAACAGACCTCTGACACACAGGGAGGAAACTGTCAACGCTGCTCCACACACAAGAAACTGGGGTAATTAAAGAAAAAGCAGAAAACCAAGGATTGGGTCTTATTAAGAAAACTAGCAGCATGAAAAGAAAGACATAAAAACTAAAAACAAGCTACAGAACTAATCAGGAAAAGACACACTCAAATATTTCCATGTTACATATCTTTACAGAGAATTGAAAAGATACTGTTTGGAAACCAAGAGTAAAATACGAAAAAGCTGTAAGATCAAAAGGAAAAAAATCAAAATTCAGTGAAGATAAAGTCCAAGAAACCAAAGTAGAGACAGAGCAATCAATCTGACATTCTGGAAATTATGGCAATAGGCAGCAAATTTCCCAGCGAGAAAGAAAAGTATCTTTGAACTGAGAGAGAAGACCCTCTGTGTGCTGAACAGAATGAATGATCAGACTTGGGTAATTTTATAGCACTGAGTATTTAAAAAGGTCCTAGGCATTCTGAGGAGGATATAAAAAGGTTTACTCACAAAGTCCCTGAAAGGATGAGGCTTCTAGAATCAGCAGCACCTGAGGTAAGAGAGCAAGGGATACTTGCAGTCAGCCTTCAAGGTGAAAGTGGCCCTAGGACAGAATGCTACACACACCCAGTAGCGAAAGATGTGCCAGGTTAAAACCAACACACTTTAAGGCATAAACCAGACTCGGCATTTATCACACATATCATTTTGATAACCCAAGAAGAAGAATCTCCAATTGGGATCCAAAAAGCAGTCCATTTAGTCCACAAGTGCACAAAAAGCCTAGGATGTAGCCAGAAAGCAGAACTCCAGGATAGTCACCTAGGCTGGAGCCAGAGAAAGTGATTTCTAAGTAATACTGCATCTGGATAACTCATGTTACAAGGAAACTGCACTGCTTTCCACAAGATGAAAAAGAAAGGCACAAAATCCCCAGGAAACCAGCATGATGCATGAGACTCCTGATCCACTGAGATCCCAGGGTAATGAGAGGGAAACAATTTAACATAGGACACCCACTTTATTTATAGGGTTATTTTATAACACTAACCCAAACAGTCAAATGCAAAACAGTACAGGAGAGCTGTTCACACACTAGAGGCCCCAGGAATCCAGCTGAGGAATCTAGCACTGTCTGCACAAGTCGAGCTGGTGGCCTTAGAGCCCATAACAATGTCTCACACAAGTCTGCATCAAGGATCTGCACTGGGAAGGTCCAAAGGCCAGTAGTGGAAGCTAGCAAGCCTGTGCCAGCAGGATGAAAGATCTATGCCAGCAGGCTGAGGGATCTGCATTGTAGCCAGGAAGCGCCACTCAAGTAAGGACCAGGGCTCCCCAGAAGAGAACTACAGCCATCCCCAGTGATAGTGAGAACCCGAACTCCTCCAACAATGAGAACAGCTGCGCTCCTGTCAGGAAAACCAGCTTGATAAGCTTCTTCAGGAGAATCAACCCAGCACACCATCTTCCCTCCAGTTCTTTTATCCTGCTGGCAACAAAACTCATCAACATGCTGAGTCAGTTCAGCTGGGTTTACAAGTTGACCTATTAGTTAATCCACCACAAGTACTAAAAAGCTCTTTCTTCCCTAAAAGCAACCAAAAAAACCGGGAAGTGTCAATACCAGCTCCTCACAGACATGGAAATAAAACCACAGGTCTGCAGAAAGCCGGGGAGGATTTACTCAGGAAAACCAATCATGCCCCCCTTTAGACCAGCAAGCTGGGAGGCACTGTAACTTGCCCAAGACCCACCCCAACGCTGGCCTGCAGCAGCTTGCTCTCTAGTGCTCCCAGGCAGCCTCCCTGAGGAGCAGCACAGAGCCAGAGCTCTTTCCAAGCTCTATTCCAAAGAACACAACCATTATCTGACCTGTCTGAGGGTGTCCGGAAAGACCCTGCTTGCAAGGCTGTTTCAACAGAACTCAGACACTCAGACACACACACAGACACTCTCTCTCTCTCTCTCTCTCTCTCTCCCCTCCCCCCATGGGTCTTCACTGAAAACAATTACACATGAGGGTGTGACAAATGAAGTAATCAAAAGGCAAAGGTGGGAATAAAATGCCCACCATGCCTCTGAAAGCTCTGGCATATTCCAGAGCTCATAGAAAGCCACATGAATGTGCAGGCTCAGTGCAGAGTGCACTCAGGGAAACCTGGGTGGCCGCAGCTTTCTTCTGTGGCTGACCTTGACCATGAGCAGGAAGTGAAGGCTACAGCAGATTGCACTGCTAAGTCAAGCATGGTGGGCAGAGTTCAGTGGGCACATGATGCCCTTCAGCCAGGACCAGCTGACTGCTAAGTTCATTCTGTAGAGAGCTCACTAGCTACACAGGACAACAGTATGTATTTAGGAAGATGGTAGAGTGGTAAGCAGCAAAGAGTCTCATCAAGATTTGGTGTCCAGACACTAGAATATAGCAACATGAGGAAGGTGGGTCCCCTGGACCCAGGAAGGAGCAGAAGTGAGACTTAAAGACCATGGAGAGAGATAATCCAGAAATCCAGCAAAAATAAGAAAACCTGGCCCAGAAGCCATGCCACCACCTCTCACTCCCCAGTGAACCAGCTGGCAAAGCCAGAGAGGAAACCAGCCTGCACACATAGGGACAGTGGAGGCAGGCCCTGAATTTCTGAAATGATAGTGACTGAAGGAAAGAAACAGCTCAGGGCTTACATTGATTCACTTTGCAAGCCTGTATCTAGTAGTTGGAAGGTAATACTGTGTAGTATAGTAACTACTGCTGAGTTCCTACTGTCTTGTTTTTAAATTCCAAGATCATTCTCAATGTATTGCTTTGTTACATTTTATTGTTTTGTTTTAGTCTCTTAAAAAAAAATACTGGGACCCGAGATTTAGCTCAGCAGTACAAGCATCTGCCTGGTAGTGAACAGTCGCGGCAAGTGAACAACAACAACCACCAAAAAACCCTCCAAAACAACCAACCAAATAAAAACGGATTTACAGAACCACTTCAGGAAAATCATTAAACTCCAACAATAAATAACCACAAGAGAATCCGATTTTGGGGCTGTCACACTGTGTTATTACAACAGTCACCTTTCAACAACTACAAAATATAAGATTTAAGGGGCTGGGGATTTAGCTCAGCGG